TAAAAACATCCAAATAGTAGATATATAAAAACATCCAAATAGTAGATATATTTAAACCTTTGGCGTCTTAGCTTCATATACACTATAGAGTATAGCATATATATGCAAATATAAATTTACTGCATATCGTATACTCGTAAAGGAATTTGAAAAAGTTTTAGAAAAATATATACATTAATAATAAATATCACCATAACTTGGTAACGTTTGTCCCAACCTAGTAGTTGCTTGCAATCTCACACTCTTCCCATTTATGATCTTTACAGACCGACATCGATGTCTCCGCAATTAGAGAATGCTTAAACTACCAAAAGGCTTAAAAAAGAAAAAGAAGAAGTCGAAAAAGGATCAAGAACTCTTCACCGAAGAGGAACTAGAACAATATAAGCGCGAATTACGAGCCAAACAAGAAGCAGCCGCTGCTAAATCAGACGCTGGTGAATCGGACGCAGCATCAGACGTTGAGGGTTTAGCACTAACAGCTGCATCCACATCCACATCAACTTCTGCACCTGTGCCAACTGAATCTGCTGAGAGTAAAGCGGACACAAGTGTCAACGGCGCCGCAGCGCCAGCAGTAGCTGCAAAAAGCGCCGGCGAGGACGAAGAGTGGGCGAAATTTAAGGCTCTAACATCGGGTGTCGATTCTATACTACATAAAACTCAAGACGAATTAGATCGCATCAAAAAGGAGTCTTTCTACCAACGTTTACCATCAGCAGCGGAAAAGAAACGTCTCGAAGAAGAGGAGGCTGCGCGTCGCGAGGCGGAACGCTTAGAGGAGGAGCGTCGCAAGGCTGCCGAAGTAGAAGCGAATCGCGATAAACTAGCTGAAGCAGTTGTTGAGCTATCCGAATCTGAAGACGACCAGGACGAGGAAGTCGGTGACATCTTTTCCACTGACTATTTAGAGGCTATAACTAGCGGTGAAATACAGTTAGGAGTCGTACCTGAGTCACCGGTATTAGAGTTTGACGACGGACCCGATCCGTTTGATACTGCTTATGCGGAAAAAGTTATTGTTGGTGCAGATAAGGCAAAGGGAAATAAGAAACTTGTGAGTCTTGGTGCCGCGGTTGAAGTCCTCTCGGGACGTGTAGATCGTGAGCACGCGCTTGCGCTTGCCAAACCGAAACGTAAGCTACGAAAGGGTATACAAAATTTGCTGCTGAGCGAGAGCATCGATCTTGCTGATCAGGAAGTTGAGATAGTCGCGCCAGAGCCACAGAAGAACTTACTCGACGAATTAGTCGATGACGTGCCAGTACCAGATGCACCTATCGATTTAAGTGTTTCGTTGCATTTGCATTTGATACAACCGAAGAAGGCCGAAGACGAAGAGGAAGAAGAAGAGCTCGACACCGGCGTACCGGATTTATCAGAATTCGATGCACTTAAGGACGATGATGATGATGAGTTTGCTGAATTAGCAGCTGAATCGTTGACCAAGAAAGAAGAGGTAAAAGTTATCACACAAATACCGCTTCCTCAGCCGGAAGTACTTTCAGAAGTTGTAGAAGCTGATTGGGCAGAATTTGAACAAGTACCCGAAGAAGAACCCACAACTGTAGGACAGGACGGCAAAGGTAAGTGTTGGGCAATATTTTATCAACGTTTAAGTATGTTCTTTTATCGAAACTAACTAACAACTGCCTTACAGTAAAACCAGCACGTCCACCTCCGCCAGCTCGACCTGCCACTGGTCCGCATATAATACCCGGTGCTATATATGTGAGTGACGACGAAGAAGATAACGTTGACGACGATCCATTCAACACCGCATACGCCGAACAGGTTATAAAGAAGACTACCGTACTAGAGGAGGACGACGACTTCGATCCGCGCGCCGAAGAAAAGGCGGGACCGCCTGCTAAGCCGCCACCACCAGCTGCAAGCTTACTTTCTCAACCAACACGAGATCTTTTAGGTGGAAGCGCTACTGACTTGTCTAAAGTTGGGCCAGCCCCCATTGCACCTACACAGGAAGCCGACGAAGACGCAGCAGATTTTGATCCATTCGACACCTCAGCTGTTAGTGCAATCGTTCGACCCAAGGCAACAGAGTTGAAATTCTTGGAGCGTGAACTACTACCTGAAAGTAATCTCAAGCACTCACTAAGCGATCCAGACTTTGATCCGCGAGCTGACGAGCCAGCTATCGCTCCCGCTCCTGCTGTAGCAATCACTGTTCCACGACCTGCGCGGCCTGCACCACCTGTGCAAATACAAAACAATAACAAGACTGCTGACTTAGAAACTGCACGTCGCAAGTCTTCCTTAAGTTTAAATATTCAGTCAAAAAGTGTGGGCTTTCTAGTTCCCTCACAAGACCTACTAGGTGCTGCGAATGACGCTCAAGGCAACAAAAAGCCATTGACACCATATTACGCACCAAGTAAAGCAACAGAGAAAATCTGCGAGAAAGAAGCCGAAGATCCCTTTGATACATCGTACGTACCAGAAACGAAACCCAGTGACGTTGAACTGAAACACCTCGAACAAGATTTATTAGCGAAAAATACACTGAAACACAGCCTATCGGATCCTGATTTCGATCCACGCGCGCCACCCACTCCGGTGCCTGCGGAAGAGCTATTGGCTGTAAAAGAAGATATAAAGACAAAAGTATTAACGCCATCGCAGGAAAGTAAAGATTTGCCAGACGATAGTATCGAGTATATAGATCCTTTCGATACATCGATAGCGTCCAACCTACAACCGGGCAAGGCAGAGCTAAAACTCCTGGAGAGTGAGCTTCTACCAGCCACACTACCGGAGATCACAACTGGTGTGCTTGATACACAAACAGACGCGCAGGAACTGGGCTTGGGAGATAAGGTGTTGACACCTTCGGTTCCTGTAAAACAAATTACACTCCCTGAAGAAGTAGATCCTTTCGATACTTCAATTGCAGAAAATTTAGCACCTGGTGCAACGGANAGAACTGGGCTTGGGAGATAAGGTGTTGACACCTTCGGTTCCTGTAAAACAAATTACACTCCCTGAAGAAGTTGATCCTTTCGATACTTCAATTGCAGAAAATTTAGCACCTGGTGCAACGGAAATTAAACTACTAGAGAGTGAATTAATTGAGCGTTAATTTAAAAGTTATCTAAAGAGGTCCAAGGCTAATTGCACGCTCACCGTAAGGCAACATGGCGAACCCATTCTTAATGGACGATGATCTGGGAGGCGTTGATGCCGACCCAGCAGCCAATCCGTTCTTCTCCAAAACAGATGGCGAAGAAGCTGAATTGGAAACAGATAATCCATTTGCCGGTCAATCTAATCCATTTGCATTTAGCGATGAACCCGAAGAAGGCGCCGCGCCAGCTTCTGATCTTGATCCAGCAATGAGCTTCTTTGGCACAACTATTGAGGCGGAAGATGATACGCTTAGTATTAAGTCTACAGCCGAAGAGGAAGATGAAACCTCTAAACGTGGTCCACCACCCAGGCCGGTGCCACCGCAAACGCAGGAACTTATCAACGCGGTTTCCAATCAGATGGAGGAGGCAAGCTCCGAGCTACTCGGACGTATACCAGCTACTCGTTCCCCAAGCCCTATATCAATGCGTGATCTACACTCACCCAGCCCCACACCAGATTCCGGCTTAGCTGATCTACTAGATGTGTCTGACAGTGGTTCGTCGGGCAATACGCAAGGATTTGACCTGGACTTAGCTGGCAGTGGCACCAACAACAGTGCTGATAATCCGTTTGGGGTACCAACGGCCATTCCTAGCTTACATGGTGCCACACCCATGCCTTCACCGGCAAAACAGCAACCCCCGCGACCCCCACCACCACGCCCAGTGCCACCGAGACCCACACCACCCACTGGTGTGCCAGCGCAACAAAATCAACCGCCTCCGCGGCCAACTCCACCAGTACCCGAACCAGCATCTCATCCAGTTGCAGATCCATCAGATTCAGAGGATCTATTCGATATGTTTGGCACAACAAAGCCACCTAAACCGCCACCACCAAAGACAAAAGAAGACATTTTAAGCCTGTTTGAGAAACCAGCACAACCAGTGACAAAACCTGATCTGTTAAGCGATGATCTCGTACTCGATCATACAGCGGAAACACCGGAAGAAAAAGAAGAAGATGAAAACAAATCAGGAGAAGATCCTATTTTCACCTCGATGCTAACACGTCCCGATGACAGCACACATGATATTACATCACAACCACAAGCAGCAGATCTTAACATATCGATGATAAATAGTATGGAGAGGAAAGAACTGGTTGTCGACGAAACTAAGCCACGTGCCCCAACTCCTGACATTGAAATAACTACCGTCGAAGATCTTCCCCGATCAGATGATGAAGATGAACCAGAGCCCGTAAAACCAGTACCACCAGTGGTCATTGAAACTGAGCCAAGCCCCGATGGCGAAGAGGAAGAGAAAGAAGAAAAGGACGCAACACTTGCGACTGCCGAACCGGCAGCAAACACATCGGTCGATTCCGATCATAGTCCTCCTACGGAATCTGCAGCAACCACTCAAGCTGTGCCTGAGTCATCGGCGGAGGCAACTACCGAACAACAGATTAGTGAGTTTGAGCAAATGGATACAGGTTTAGACTTTGCACCTGCCAGTGCAGTTGCAAGTGGTGCAGCTTCCGCAAATCCTTTCGCAAGTCCTGATGAGGAAGAAGAAACGTACCCACCACCCTCTGTGGTGACAAATATATTTGCCATGGACGATATGGACGCTGCAGTGGTGACAAATATTTTTACGACAGCGACGGATTCAATCACAACTTCGGCTGTGCCAGTGAATATATTTGCAGCAGATCCGGATCCGGAACCAGAGCCAGTGACAGTCACCGCACCGCCATACACAGCTAATAATATCTTCGCCATCGAACCGGATGAGTTTGACGCTTTCTCGGCCAAGTTTGATTCCGTTAAAAAGGATAACATTAGTATACTTGATGGTTTTGGCGGCTCTGGCGCTGTGACACCGTCCGGTGGAGATGGTAAGTTTTAGCGAGCTATTTTTGTGGGTACAATTAGAAAATATTAAAAAATATATATTTTCAGCTTGGGGTGACAGCGCATTTGGTTCGCCTGCAACAACCAACAACGCTTTCGGCGCATCAGATGCTTTCGACAATGAGGATGATGACTTCTATGCAATGAAAGCGCCCATTCGCGCTGATTCTGTTGAGTCGGTGGACAAGGAGTTCAATGTTGTCATCCGCCCGAAAGGTGATACCACAAATGCCATTGCACCTCAACTGGCACCACCACCGCCCCCAGCGCGCGCTACCAGCGGTCAGCTGTCAAGCGATACGTCGCCAGCTGTCAACCCCTTCGAAGACACAGGTTTCCCGGCACCAGCTCAAACTGACGAAAACAAAGTCAAACGCACAGACTCCCAGGACACACCACAAACACCGCTGTTCGATGAAGATGTCTCGCAGCCACTGGAAGACTTTCCACGATTAAACTATGTTGGACCCGGCTGGGAAATGCAGCTACGACAACCGAATAAGAAGAAGATAACCGGTCAACGGTTCTGGAAGAAAATCTTTGTACGTTTGGTAGTGCAGAACGATGTGCCCGTCGTACAGTTGCTCAATCAGGCAACAGACAAGCAACCATTCCAAGAATTGCCACTTCAGCCGTCATACTCTGTGTCAGAGATCGGCGCACAGCAGTACGATCAGTTTGGAAAAATTTTCACCGTCAAACTGCAGTACATATTCTATAAAGAACGCCCGGGTGTGCGACCTGGACAAGTGACCAAGGCAGAACGCATTACCAATAAATTGACTAAATTTGCACAATACGCCATTGCGGGTGACTACGAGGGTGTGAAGGAGTTTGGAAGTGATTTGAAAAAGTTGGGTTTACCTGTTGAACATGCGCCACAATCGTCACAACTATTTAAGATTGGCTCGATGAACTACGAAGATATGAAACAGTTTTCGATCTGCATCGAAGAGGCACTTTTCCGACTGCCAGCGTTGCGTGAACGTGCGCTCGTCTACAAGATGGAGGAGGTACAAGTAACGGCGGTCGATGAAATCGTTGTAGAGCAGGACTTCGAGGGCAAGATTTTGAAACAGATAGCGCGCGTGCGTTTATTCTTCCTAGCTTTTCTCACAGGTAACTGCATAAGGAGGTGAAGTTTGATTGCGCTTTAAGCTAAAGGGAAATTTTGAAATTCCAGGCATGCCCTCAATTGAGTTGGGAGTGAATGATATGTGGCGCCAGGGTAAAGAAGTGGTAGGCCGGCACGACATCATACCAGTAGCCACTGAGGAGTGGATTCGCCTCGAAGCTGTAGAGTTTCATAGCGTGGTAAATCAGGAGGAATATGAGAGGACGCGTACAATTAAGTGAGTTTTGTTTTTCGGATTCCGTAGCGCGCAGTTAATTGTAACATTTGCTTCCCGAATAGGTTCCAGCCACCGGATGCAAATTATATAGAATTATTACGTTTCCGCGTGCGTCCACCCAAAAATCGCGAACTTCCATTACAGCTCAAAGCTACTTGGTGTGTGACTGGCAATAAGGTAGAGTTGCGTGCCGATATACTTGTGCCAGGCTTTACATCGCGCAAATTGGGCCAAATACCATGCGAAGATGTGTCAGTGCGTTTTCCAATACCGGAATGCTGGATTTACCTGTTTCGTGTAGAGAAACACTTTAGGTGAGATTGAGAAGCGAATACGTTTGCCACATAAATAAATTATGAACTACATACTTTCCACTATTCCACAGATATGGCTCAGTTAAATCGGCTCACAGACGTACTGGCAAGATAAAAGGCATCGAGCGCATATTGGGCGCAGTCGATACGCTGCAGGAATCACTCATAGAGGTCACCTCTGGCCAGGCGAAATATGAACATCATCACCGCGCAATTGTTTGGCGGTGCCCACGTTTGCCAAAAGAAGGACAAGGTATGTAACAACGGGCAAAGAATTGAATGGAGGCTTCCCACATTAGACGCATTGATATTTCAATCTGTTTTTTCAATCGTAGGCGCTTATACTACACATCAATTGGTTTGTCGCATGGCACTCACCTCCTACGATCAAATACCAAGCGAATTGGCACCCTACGCTTTTGTTGAGTTCACAATGCCAGCGACACAGGTGTCGCATACGACAGTGCGTTCGGTGAGCGTACAAGACTCGGATTCTGATGAGCCGCCAGAAAAATATGTGCGCTACTTGGCACGACATGAATACAAGTATGTGGCAATTTTAATAATTTTATAAAAAAATAATATGGATTATAACCATTGCTAAGTTGAATTCTCCTTTCTGTGTTGCCGGAAAAGAGGGGCGGAAGTATTTTTGCGTAGAACTTCCATAAAATAAAATAAAAATAAAAATAAAATAAAAATAAAATAAAATAAAATAAAATAAAATAAANATCTGTGTTGCCGGAAAAGAGGGGCGGAAGTATTTTTGCGTAGAACTTCCATAAAATAAAATAAAAATAAAACAAAAAAAATAAAATAAAATAAAATAAAAAAAAATAAAATAAAATAAAATAAAATAAATAAAATAAAATAAAATAAAATAAAATAAAATAAAATAAAATAAAATAAAATAAAATAAAATAAAATAAAATAAAATAAAATAAAATAAAATAACCTGAAATAAAATAAATTAAATTAAGATTCATTTATAAAACCAAACAAAAAGAAAAATAAAAAAAATTAATTTTTGAAATTTTATTGGACCGGGGTTCGAACCAGAAGCAATATGGCGCGTGAAAAGGTTCCTTGTGTCTGAAAATCCGAAAAAAAATTAAATTTTAATTAAACTTTATTGATATTTTTATTTTTTTTACAAGTCCTAGCTGAAGTGCAGGTGCACACCATACAACGCTTTNTACAATAAGATTCATTTATAAAACCAAACAAAAAGAGAAATAAAAAAAATTAATTTTTGAAATTTTATTGGACCGGGAGCAATATGGCGCGTGAAAAGGTTCCTTGTGTCTGAAAATCCGAAAAAAAATTAAATTTTAATTAAACTTTATTGATATTTTTATTTTTTTACAAGTCCTAGCTGAAGTGCAGGTGCACACCATACAACGCTTTATCTTACTAATTTAAATTTTTTAATTATTCA